GATGACTTGAATAAAGAATTTAAAATGGACTTTAAAGAAATGCCAGATTATAAGAGAGATATGGAAGATATGGAAAAAGATGCCGTGGATCTGAAGATGGCGCAAAGTTGCTTGATTGTGAGAATGATATGAAGTAAGAAGCTGTAATGGATCAGAAGAGTGATTTTGAGAGTCTTATTTTGGGCCCACAGAAGGGAAACACCAAATCTCTGAAACCTTTTCTGAAAATAGAAAGGGACAGAATGATAAGAGATTACTATCTGGGACTTTATTTGGAGAAGAGATTGAAGACTGAGCCTTTCAAAAAGAAGAGAAAGGAATTCAAAGTGGATTTATCAGATCAGGGCTAAATTGTATAAATTTTGATCTTGGACTGTTAATACTGAATTTTCTTTTTCTGACCAGGACTGTAAGACAATGATTTATACTTATAAAAGCAATTTATTTGGTTTAGTTTAAAATACATATGTTGTTGTTATATTACTGGTCTTTCCTATGCTTAAGGGGAGAGATCTTTTATGTTTTATTTTTTAGAAAAAAATTAGAAGTTAAAATGCCAAACAGACCTATTTATTTAAGCTTAAAATATATAGTTTATTATCACTAGCACTCTTAATGCTTTTGCTGATCAGATTGATTGTTGAATATTTTTTATAATTTGGTTATTGTTTAGGGATGAGAAAGTGGAGGAAGAGGGCTTTTTTCTGTAATATTAGAGAAGGTGTTAAGTTACTGTTAATGTATATACTTGTTTGGAGGGAGGGGGAAGTCATCTTTTATATTTCTTTCTTTCTCTTTCATCTTTCCTTTTTGTCTTTTAGTTTTGTATTAGCTTATATATATATAAATTTTAATAAAATAGTATGAAAAAAGAGAAGATGATGGCAATATAACTACAGAGAATCCTGAAAGGAAATAATTATTTTCACTGTCATGATTCAGGCCAAATTATGAGACAGAAATGGCATTGGTCACCCTGGTTGTTGGCATTTATTGGGACCTGGAGGGGGGAAGTACATCTCTTGATATTAGATCTCTCAATGACATTCATTATTATTAGCCATGGTATCTTGCTGGACTGCCTGCAAGGTTGGGAGCTGAGAGCACCATTTTATGGTGGTTCTCCTACCTAAGTGGACAGTTTCCTTTTTGTTAAGATAAGGTACCACCAAAATTCCTGCTTTAAAAAAAATAACTTCAGGCCAGATTCTGTTAAATCTTGTAAATTTACATGCTTAAAATTAAGCTTAAAGCAGACTTCCCATTATTCTTCTTTTTATTATTTATTATTCTTGTTTTCCCACAGCTGTGCTGCCTACTCCTATAAGTTTTCTCAAGCAACCTTTCCCCCCAAGTATAGCTACGCATACTGCAAATCAGATTTGATCAAGATTCCAACTATCCCTCACTTATTTTCATGAAGTGCCCTCACAAATATAGAAAAGAGCAACTGATTAACCGTGGTGGCAAACAGAAGGGAGGAAAGGACACAGCAACCAAGTGGACAAACAAGATATGAAAGATATGTACCTGTATGACTGCACCTATGAGAATGTGGATGGGTATATTATATGTATGAAAATTGGGGGATAATTGTGAAGGGAAAAGGTGATTGGACAATGGTCCTTTCAAATTCTTATATGCAACTAATTGCAAATACATTTTACTTTTTCAGTCATGGCACAGCATGGCTATATTAGAAAGATTCTTTCTGTTTGCTTACAATGAAGTTCTGTAAGTCTGCTTAAAACCATCTGTACCAGCTGATTCTATATCCTTCACTTTCTTCCATCTCCACCTATGCTATAAAGAACAATCTTCCTGTCTTACTGATGAAAAATAGTTTTTACTCTGGACAAAGATTTCCAAAGATTTTCAAAATATTATAGATTTGCAAATTATTAGAAATTAAACTTGCTGGAACTGGTATGCAAGTTTGTGGTTTGTTTTTCCCTTAAGTTTATTACTGTCAGTAGAATAGGAGCAACTGATGACTGTACAAATACTTTCTTCTTTTGCTAAAAACCTGCATTTTGACAGGGTTAAATTCCTTACCAGAAAAATGGCCACTGCATAAAACAGTTCCCTACCCACCCACCCACCGTAGATGGTGCTCAATGTGTTTAATTGGGAAAAACCCAGTTTTTACGGTAGCTACTGTCACTATGATGAACAAAGGCTTGCAGAAAAGGAAAAAAACAAAACTTGAGTAACTACTAGATGGCAGTAAAGAGCTGGTTTTTCTGCATTATCTTACTATCATCTAGTGGTGCTCCAGATTGCAGCCCAGACACAACATACTAGGTGTAATAAAAAATAGTGATCATTCTGAGTATATTTCTGTTAAATTACACTAACTGTCTTTCTAGTGATTTGAGAACACTAATTAAATGCAGGTTAAATGTAATTTCAAATACACTTAGCTAAGAGCATAAATTGCACCAAAATCACTTTGGCTTACTTCTGAGAACACACTTAGCACTGTATCTTTAAACTTTAGAACGAGAGGCCTCTCAGCTCCAATATATGTACAGAGAGCAGAATGAGATCATTAAATAAACGATATCAGTTTGGACTGCAGTTTGAAGACATCATTTTTGACCTTGTTCCCAGGTTAAAAGCAAAAAATGGACAAGAATTAAGCCTGCTTCCCCAACCTGACGATGTTCAGATATGTTGGGGCTATAACTATCAGAATTTCAATTTGAGTTGTTAGGAGTTATCCTGAGATAATCAAGGATAACCTTCAAAAGAAGGTTAATTAGCACCTTCAAAAGAAGGGTTCTTACCCAGCCCTCTCATTATGTCTCTTTGTCTTGTTTCCAGCCGGACAGAATGTTTTAAAGAAATTATATAAAGGGGCTTGGGACTGTGTCTGACCATTTATCTGTAGGATAACTCTCTGAAGACCCAACAAACAAGACCAATGTATGTTAGGAAAAGCTAGCAAAGGAAAAATTGTGTGTGAAAATGGGCCAGATTTGGAGGGGGCAGCATAGGGGGGAAAAAAAATCCTCCATTGCATCCCTACCAGAGAGACAGTTAAGTAGCCGCTCACAATATAGTTGACTGTTTCATTCTAAACCTTGCTCCTTCTTCCTTCCCAGTCAAGAGAACCAGAGTGAAACTGTTTTTAAGCATTTGGAAAGAATTCCTGAAGCCATGCTTTGTATGCTGTCCCTATTTTTTTCCTCAAGGTTCCTAGTTTTCACACTTCCTCACTTCCTATGAATTAGAAGCACCAGATCAGTTTTTAATCTGAACGGCCTCATTCACAGAACTTTCTGAGAAGGAGGTCCAGCAGCATCATCCGCTCTAACTCTCCGTGCTTCTTTTTTCCACCCAAACATAGCTGAAAAAAATCAGTGGAAAAGAAAACAGAATAGCTGCATCATGCCTTTGGCTCTCCAGTACTAAGGGCCCTCCACCCAGAAGCACCCACCACCTCCGAAGCTTCTTATTTCTTCCTTAGCTCAGATTACAGAACCAGCAGGATGAAATGACCTGACTGCCCTTTAAGGTTAAATGTAGGAAGTACAGATGAAGGTAAGTTGTGGAGTGTTAGCACATCATGGAGGAGGAGGAGGAGGATGCCTGGTAACATCTCAGCCGGACCACTTTTCCAAAAGCAGGCGGAGGTGACCCACCTCACTTCACCCCCCACGGGGGGCAACCGTCAGCCATGACGTGCTTGACCGGGAGCAGGGAAAGCTTTACTTCCCACTTGGTTTCGACGGATCTAGACCCTGGATAGTTTGGGTTGGCGGGCCGGTCGATTCAGCCCGGTCCTCCTGCCCCGCGTTGCCCCTCCGGCGAGGTCTTCCCGACGAGGCCGAGAGGGGGCGCCCTTCTCTTCTCCTTCCTCGCCCACTCACCTGATGTACGGGAAGAGGGGCTCCACATGGCCGCTGAGCACGGCGATCGCGTAGGAGACGATGAAGGCGGCCGACGACCAGGAGACCAGGAGCGTGGGGATGAAGGCCGCGCCTTGCGTGAAGCAGGACATCCTGCGGCACCAGCGGCCGCCGCGCGGGATCAACGGCTGCCTCTCCCCGCCACCAGGCCTGGAGGCAGAGAGGCCGCGCCAGCTCATAGGGGCTACTACGATCCGCCAAGCGGGTGAAGTCATAAAAGCGCCTGAA